TCTATCTATCTATCTATCTATCTATCTATCTATCTATCTATCTATCTATCTATCTATCTATCTATCTATCTATCTATCTATCTATCTATCTTTTTAATTAATTAATTAATTAATACAGAGAGTGAGAGAGAGATAGGTTCATATGGGCCACCCTTTTCATTTGTGTCAGTTTCTTTCATTGAAGCTGGTTTTCAAAACCCACAGATTTGGTCTTTTTTCCATTTTGTTTTAATTTCTTAAAAGAATAAAAAAAATGTGTGAAAGTGAAACATGTGGACACACACACACACACAGTTTACAGGTAAGTCTGCAGCAACATGTACACCCATATAAACACGTCCAACAAACATATCCAGTCTGAAAGCATACATTTGCACATACAATGGATTTTTCACACACGTGCGAGACAAACAAAACACACATGCAGTTAGTGGGTGAGGGAGAACTACAGACCACAGCAAGTCACACAGATGGGTGAAAGTGGATCACATCAAAAGTCTCTGTTTTGTGTTCTTTTTTGTTACTCTGCGAATAAAAGCTGACTGACGGCCAGTATCAGCTACAACAACAAAGTGCAGGTTTAGTTTCAGTGCCCACTGCTTCAAAAACAAAACAAACAAACAAAAGCAACTGTAACTGTGCGCGTGTGTGTGTGGGGACACGTGGGTATTCGTTTTCTATGGTTTCATAGCTTCACACAGGAAATGTTCCTACCTGACAGTCACTCACTTCTCTTTACTGAACATGGTGTTTGTTAGCACGTGGCAAATAGCTTTCACGTAGTGAGGACTGTGATAACCCCCCTCACACCTTACAGGAAACAAAATCTGTCCTCGTCACAGACCAGCATCAAACACGGGCAGCTTAGCTTCAGAGGACAGCAAGATGAGGCTGAGGGCTCTGTGGATGGTGGTGATGGTGTGCTTCAGTGATGGAGAAGGCACAGAATGCTTAGGTAAGACCAGTGAATTTGTGAAATAACTTCAGTTATTTGTATAAGTGAGTGTATTAATCAATGTGACGACTTTCAGAATGACAGAGCTGTTGCGTGTCGGATTCTTGTGCTTTTACTGACTTTGCAGTGGTTATAAAGCGAGTTTGTTATGGACACAAAATGTTCTTTCTTGTACTGCATACTGTGGGACAACAAATGAAATACTAATACATGGCTCACAAATAACTTTTAGTACACAACATGTACACTCTGAGAAACAGTAGAAAGTCAAATCTACACTGACATAAACCCTCACACGGGAAAGTTTAATAAGCTGGCTTGACTCGGAAAACTATGCAAACTGACGGGCTCAAAAAAACGAGAAAAACTAAAGAGTGAGTTATTCTTTAGTGCAGCTCTTTGACTGGATACTGGATGAATCAGATGTGAGGTATATAACCTCAGAATGAATGACCTAGATGTCATATTCTGCCACACACAATCACAGGAACGCTGGTTTTTATAGCAGTAAAACTGTGAATAACTACACTTTTACACTGTGCTGCACCACAGAAAGAACAGCCCTGAAAATGAGACAATATCTCTGGGCGACATTGCCTTTTTAATTTGAGAGTTCAGAGGAGAATGGCCAGACATGTTCCAGCTATTTAAAGCAGAAACCTGACTGAGAAGACGAAACCATCCACAGAGCAGACATGGAGAAAAAAAGGTACCTAAGAAAACTACAATCAGCACAGCAGGGCGAGGGACTAAAGCACAAACAGATAAACATATGAACACAAATCCTTTCTTAAAACAAAGACAGTCCAGAATACAAAACTAGAGATACTAGCATTAAAGAAGAGTAAACCGAGAACATCATGACTGTGAATGATCCAACATTTACTTTATTGTTTCATACAACACAAAGAGAAACTGGTGCAAAGCTCTTAGTAATAAACAGAAGCTTCTTCTTTTATGGTCACAAAAGTGTGACAAATCATAAACACTTAAATAATAATAATAATAATGATGATAATAGTAGTAATTTAAAAGACTGTGAGTTTAAATTTCCTGAGACAGTGTTTGTTCATACACAGTGTCAGCAGCACTTAAAGAAAGAACAAATTCAGATTTGAAAACATGGATCAATCAGTGATTCCTGCACAGTTTATGCACTGATATGTATGTACACTGTAAAAATGACTCAAATGGCCTTCACATGGGAATATGGACCAAAATCTCCAAGGACTGTTTCCAGCAGCTTGTTGAATCAAGTCAAAAGGGTCCAACCAGTGCTAATGAAGCGTCCCTGAGAAACTGGCTGCTGAGTGATCCCAGTACAATCTGTGTTTGGACAAATAAAGAAAACAAAAGGATTATACTCGTACGTTTCAGTCAAAGAGCCTTTTCACACATTCTGACACATTTCTTTCAGTGTGTTGTGTGAGTGGTGCTTCAATTTTCTGGTTTCTTACCTTCCTGGTTTTGATTGCCCTTTCCATGCTGGGCTGTCTGGTTTCTTCCAACAGTATAAAGACACTGAGGTTAACACTGTGGATAGAAGCTCCATGTGCCATCATATTTAGGTTAAAAACAGTCATGAGAGGATCAAGTCTGATGTCCAGGAACACTCACAGTTTAAAAGAAAATACAGCGGTGTGAAAAGTGTGTCAGGGGTACAGCAGCACGACACTCTCTAGTTAACCCTGATTTTCCTAAAACGTAACCTGGATCATATTTTACTTGTTGACTGAAAAATTGTAAACTGGGGAATTCCAGGTAAGAAGCTGAAAATGTTTTGGTTCATGTTTCAGTTCTTCTTTCACAACAACTGACAGAAATCCCAGTTCGACCACAGATCAGAGCGTGCCTGCAGGGATGGGATTCGAGCCTGGAGTGGCAAACCTGAGCTGGACATCAGAGTTGTGTCAGAGCAGCATGTTCCAGCAAGTTTGCAGAACCAGTGATAATACTACAGGTTGTGTCAATGACATCAAAGAAGGGCAGGCTGAATGCTCTGTTTTGTTCATTTTCATTCTAGGAGTTTTATTTCTCCACCAGTAGGGAACAAAAACACTCCTTTAAATCTGTGAAGTGACCACTGATCTGTTACTAGTGTCAGAGTTGGGAGATAAAGCAGCCCTGACCAGGCTGCACCTTTTGCTGGATTGAAGCACTGTTGTGGCTCATCTTGAACACTGGGGTGTCTTTAAGGACACTGATGCAGCCTTATCTTTAGGCTAGGACCTCCCCTGTGTGTGTTACTATAATTCACTGTACCTACATTAGTAACCTGCTGTTCTCTGGTTGTTGTTGCCAGTATACAGCTGTTTACTGGTGAATATTGAAGTCGTGGGGTGTGTACATTTGCACACAGTAGAGCTGTGTCAGTGAGAGCTGTGCCTAAAAGTGCTTCATAAATATTTTGACTGATTTACTATTTGTTTTATGTTCATACTAACTTTGAGCAGAACATTGAACAAAAGCAGAGAAAAGTGCAACAGTTCACATTGGCATGGGTTACAACATTGTCGGGGTTGGGTGAGAAAAATGTACTGCTTACATGTATTCAGGTTTCACAGTCTTCCAGGTCCTGGGAGCACGCACATCATGCTTGTACATTACAACGCTGAGCATTGCTGTTTGTCCATTATGACAGGTAGCCTCTGCACAACCTCATCCTTTGTTGCTTGGACTCTGTTTTTGTCCATCAGGCGGACCTGTCATCTCAGTGACCGAATCCAGTAAAGTGATGTTTCCATGTCCACGTATCCAAGCCTCAGAGATGAAATATCAGCTAATCTTCAATGACAAACCCATCAGTAAAGTCAGCCTGGATAAGGTCAGTGTGTGAGCTTGTAGCTTTCTTTAGCTGTTTCCTTACTAAGGACATTCATTAAAAACCTTTCAGTATAGATTTTTGTATCATTCAAATATGTTGAATTTCTGTGTCATAGGCGCTGGAGCACAGTGCAGCACACCTAGCCAGTATGCACCACAGTAATGTAAACAGTTTATGTTGAAGTCATAGTATTCATTTATGTCTCAGAGAAAACTTTGATGAAATGAAAGTCAGATTGCAAGAACTGCTGATCTCTGCCACACGGGAAAACCACAGTGTCTCCTCTGCACTGCACTGAGATCCCATGCAAGTTGGGGTTTCTATTTGTTCACAGTGTGCAGTATCACAATGCAGATGCACTGAATTTTGAAAGCTGTGAGCAATCAAGGCCGTGACATCGACATGTGATGGCAAGCTGACAATTAAAATTGCTGCATGGACCTCTATATCTATTTTTGTGAGGTATTACGCATCTTTGTGCGGAACATCTTTGGTCCCCGTTGTTCTTCAAAAAGACACTTTGTCATTTGGAGCTTTGATGACAGAAATCGAGAGCTCTGTCTGAGACTTCAAAATGTCCCATAGGTGTATGAGCGGGGCTGAGATCTGGGGACTGTGATGGCCTTAGCATAGGAACATCATCACAATCTTTGTTGTCATTGTGTTTTAAGAACAATGACAACTGTATGCAAACCGTTCAGTGCAAGTGAAAAGAATCAAAATCAGAAATACTTTATTAACCCCAAAAGAAATGATGGGAAAGGACAAACTGAGGAGGGAGAAGCTGTACCTGTGTTGGGTTACTGTTTCATGTTGAGTCAAAGGCTCTTGGTGACATCATACGTCAGCATATGGATGAAACAGTAATCAGTGGCTGTTGGTATAATATTCCTTTAACTAAATGTCAGGCTGACTTCTTTGGAAAGCTGTATTACAGTTTCACTGACTGTTAAACCAATTTATGTGGTTGCTTCAGATCATACCTCCCCCACAGACCCCCAAACCACATATAAACTTCAAATTCAACTGATTGATGTAAAAATTCAAGCAAAAGATCCACAACAGTATGTGCAGAAAGACATTTAAGTAATGTTTTACATTAAATTAAATTTTATTTCATTAATGTAGTGTCATTAATTGATTAAATAATATACTATATATAATATATATATATATAATATCACTTAAGTGTGTTGCAGTGCTTTAACAATAATAGATTATAAGTAGGTACGATTACTTTAGATCTCTCTTGATGGGTTATAACTTGTTTTGAAGGGAGGGAGGTTCAGGGCGGAAGCAATCAGCTTCATGGGCTCATCCGGTTAGAATAAGAAAAGCAGCCATCTAATGCAGAATTATTTTCAGGGTACTCCTTTTATTCTCAAATAAATAAGGCAAAAAAGGAAGGAAACAAAGACACACATGGACTGCCAATATTTGTGCATGTCGCCATCGTCGTCGGCCTAGGAGGTCAGAATCAGAATAGGATACCAGGGGGAGTGATGAATCATGTCGGCCCATAAGGAGAAGGTTTGGGGTTACGGGGTCAATGTCCGCAATGTCTGAGGATACATAGCCTAGGGGTTTTGAGTTAAGATGGCCCCAACTGACCTAGTGCTCAGTGAATACCTCAGGCAGCAGAAACCCAAGAAAGAGGAGGGAGACGAGGAACCATCATGGAAGGACAGGCCCCTGCACGGTATGTACCACCGGCAGATAGAGGAGGTGGCTGATATCCAGAAATCCTACCAGTGGCTGGACAAAGCTGGACTGAAAGACAGCACAGAGGCACTAATCATGGCAGCACAAGAACAAGCTCTGAGTACAAGATCCATAGAGGCTGGGGTCTATCACACCAGGCAAGACCCCAGGTGCAGGCTGTGTAAAGATGCCCCAGAGACAATCCAGCACATAACAGCAGGGTGCAAGATGCTAGCAGGCAAGGCATACATGGAACGCCACAACCAAGTGGCCGGCAGGACACTGGGCGTGCAGGATCTCAGCTGACCCTTCTCACCCTGGACACAGTCTGTTTGACCTGCTCCCCTCAGGCAGGAGGCTCCGGTCCATTCGCACCAGAACCTCTCGCCATAAGAACAGTTTCTTCCCCTCTGCTGTTGGACACATGAACAATAACCATATGACTGTCCCCACCACTAACACATGACCCTACGCTGTGTTCACTGCATCATTCCATGTTTGGCACTGATCACCACCTGCACTCATGTATATATCATGTATATATCTATCCACTTAGCACTTTTAATTCTTATTCTTATTTTTATATTTTTATGACAGTATGTTGCACTGAAGCACCGCAGCAATTTCCTAATGTTGTAAACCTGCTCAACATCTGGCAATAAACCCTTTCTGATTTCTGATTCTGATTGAGTAGATCTGTGCCGAGTATAACCTGGAAGTCAGGTCAAAATGGGAGATGCCCCCAAGGGTGGTGGAGAATGACCGAGCTAAGATCCTGTGGGACTTCCAGATACAGACGGACAAAATGGTGGTGGCTAACCAACCGGACATAGTGGTGGTAGACAAACAGAAGAAGACGGCCGTAGTGATCGATGTAGCGGTTCCGAATGACAGCAATATCAGGAAGAAGGAACACGAGAAGCTGGAGAAATACCAAGGGCTCAGAGAAGAGCTCGAGAGGATGTGGAGGGTGAAGGTAACGGTGGTCCCCGTGGTAATCGGAGCACTAGGTGCGGTGACTCCCAAGCTAGGCGAGTGGCTCCAGCAGATCCCGGGAATAACATCGGAGATCTCTGTCCAGAAGAGCGCAGTCCTGGGAACAGCTAAGATACTGCGCAGGACCCTCAAGCTCCCAGGCCTCTGGTAGAGGACCCGAGCTTGAAGGATAAACCGCCCGCAGGGGCGTGCTGGGTGTGTTTTTTTTTTTGTGTGTGTGTGTGTGTGTGTGTGTGTTGTGCATAGTATTATATACATATTGTGAATACACAATGTCTTTTCAGTGTTTTCCTTTTTTTCTGAAGTATAGTTTTTATTTTTTCAGGTAACTCACATTTTAGTTTGAGTTATTTGTCTTTAGTGTGGCTGAACCATATCACCTTTCTTTTTCTGTAAGCACGATAAAGGTCAAAACTGCCACCCGTGATCAAGAGTAAAATCCCTGTAAATAGCACTTTAAGCAACATTACTATACTTGTTGCAGTCAGTTGGTCAGTATTCATAAATCAGTGTTATGTATATTTTTAAGACATACACATAAACACATGTAACTCATTTTTAATTTCTAAATGTAACGTCTCTCCTAGGATGTGCATGACTGGCAGCATGATTGTATCATTTCACCACACACAAAAAGATAACACTGACGTCACTGAGCTCTGTGTCACACACTTTCAGACTATATATATATACTTAATGCATACTGCAGTAATTATTGATTACTCTTTCCTCTTGTATTTTCTCTAATATTTTGGAAAAAGCCTGTGTAAAGCCGGATAAATGAGACATGTGTGGTAGATGAGTTTACTGAAGTCAGCCATCCAAGGCAACGGACAGAGCACAGGAGTGGTGAAGAGCAGGCAGGGTGACAGAACAATAGTAGCAAGAGTGAAAGGGGAGGTTTACCAGATGTTAGTGAGAGCTTTGATGTATGGTTTGGAGATGGGGGCATTGACAAAAGAGACAGGATACTGGACTGGAAGTGGCAGGCTCCCGAGTGTAAACACAAAACACTACTTTATCTTATGTGCTGGAATGTGGAGAAAATAGGTTTAGATGTTAAACAAATTTCTTCCAGTCAGAGAATGTTGCAGATAATTAAATCTTTGCTTGATGCATAAAGTTTTAAAGTTTAAAAAGAGACGTTTTCATTTGATTACATTTTGTATGATGGATTATGCAGAAAAAGTAGAATTGGGCTGAAAGATCCAAGACGTCATTACCTATTTAGGGGATAAATCATGTTTTAAAAAGTAACTAAGTAACTAATTACTTTTGAAAATAAGTGATCAGTAAAGAAACAGGATTACTTTTTTCGGGAGGTAATCAGTAATTAGTTACTGATTACTTTTTTCAAGTAACTTGACCAACACTGCCGGTGGGACACTGCGGCGTTCCCGAAAAATCATCTCCTGGACGTGCCTCGGGGTCTCCATGTGGTAGGACATGCCTGAGACATCTCTGCTCGGCCTGAGTGACATCCCAGCCAGATGCCGGAAACACCTGGACTCACTGCATTCAATGAATTCAGTTGAAATGATGGTGAATGATTGCTTGTTTTCTTTATACAGAACCACACTGCACAGTTTGAAGTCACAGTGAGTGAGAGTGGGGTGTACTCCTGCATCACTGAGAAGATTTATCCTCCACCCTACAAACAGAGCTGTCAGAGAATCCAAGTCAATGTGACCGGTAAGACACGTACACACAAACTCATTAAGAAAAGCATTGCTTTCCATTCTGTGTGTGAGATCATGAATTGTCTGCCTCCCACCTACCTACATGCCAAATAGTGACATTAAGTGCAAAAAACAGTAAAAATGAATCCAGCAGTTATGAACCTGGTAATTCAATAATTTATCTCTTCTGTTTATTTTCTACATACAACTGCATAGAATTATGTGAGGTAAGGCTGAATGAGGAATGCATCCAAAAACTTTTAAATTCCTCTTGCAGAGTCTCACAAAGCTTAAAACAAAAACAAGTGCTGGTGAGTTGCAGCCTCCTGGAGTCTGGTTACGCTCTTTGCACATCACAGACTCAGATAAAGAGACTTTTCACACTCAGTCTTTGACTCCCTGCTTAATTAGGTTATTCAATCATAGTTATGCAGAGTCCCTGCAGCTGGTAGGACCACATGTATGTCTGTGTGGTCAGAAGATTGAAAGTCCCTGCAAACAGTTTTGAGGACAGCAGAGGGTCTTCCCCACATCCAGGTCACTGCACAGGAACACTGTCTGAGCAGAACAAATACATTACAAAGTCTCTTCTCCCCGCTGACGAGGCTCTAAAGGTTCACAGCGGGTAAAATAAATATGAAACATGTCACCAGTTTTAAGTACATATATTTCTAAAGGTGCTAATTTAATGCTAACTTTGAATTCTGACCAGATCTGCAGTCCACACAAACCAACAAATGAAACCACAGATGCTCACAAATGAGATTATGGAGAATAATCAGAAATGACATTGAAAAAGTATTGAACACGTGCAGAAAGGGAGGTGTGAAAGGCTACTTACCCCACTCCCCTCACTGTTGCTCCCCACCAGTTGTTGTTGCTTCCTAAAATACTGAAGGGTCCAGTGAGCATTGTTGGGGCCATAATCTGCAAGTGGAAAGAACATAATTTCACCATAAACTGGCCACAACCAGACAGATTTCAGACAGAATGAACAGCATGATCAGGAGAGCCAAGGAGCATCTGACCTGGGATCAGCAGGTATGATCATTTCAAAGAAAACATGAACTGAAGAAGCTTCTTGGATGAGAGGTGAAACGTCTTCAAGCAACTTAAAGAAGTCCAGACGCTTTTCTTTGCAAGCTCCTTTGAAAACAATAAGTAATGCACTCAGCCGCCCATATTCAGACTCTAATGCTGTAAAAACAAACATGTTAAAGTGAATTTAAAGTTTGCTGAACAACATTTAGACAAGCCTGTGCAATACTGGGAAATATAGTCGTGTCAGATGAGACTAAAACTGGAAAACTCTTTGGATGCCATCATGCATGCCATGTTTGGAGGTCACAAAGTACCCCAAAACACCACACCAACAGTGAGGTTTAGGTGGGGACATCAAGGAAGGATTTCAGAGGTACTTTTCCCACATGAATGTGAAATATAATATATAATGATAATAATATAAACTGTACTCTTATGGAATTTCAGATGGGAAGAATTGGACATCAATCAACGACAGCATCATACCTGTTAAGGACTGTCCATGCAATCCTCCATTAATCCCAGAGGTGGTGATGTGGGCGGGATCTTGTGCTTTATTGGTCTACAGCCTGACAATCACCTGCATAACCATTGCTATATGGGTAAGAATAAGAAGATGGATTTCACTCATTTGTCCACATAAAAGTAGCCAAAGTAGGTAAAAGGATCAAAATGGGGTAACCATGGAGATACCTTTGTACACAGACGCCTCCTGGGCCTGCTTCTCTTGTTCAGTGTTAGTGAAAGTAGAAAACATATGACACAAAATAGAAATGGTCAAACTTATATGTGACTGACAGTAGAAAACATGGTGAGGTTATCCATGTTACTGGATCAGGAATTCACTTCAGAAAGATGGTTTCTGCCTTTTTATGTCATTCTTATCACTGATCTGGGTTCAGGGGGTTACTTTCCTCACAAGTTTCTTTCATATCATTAATTCAATATTTTAAAACCAAATTGCCACATCATGTCCGACAGCTTTATGTCACAGCTGGAGTCACGAGAAACTTCATAAACTGCAGACGACATTAGGGATGAAAATTAGACACAGTTTACTGTCCATATGTGTCTGATTGAAAGATGAGGAGAGAGCTGTAGTGCAGTGGACTGGGCTGATGAGGGAACTGAGGCATTATCTTACTTTTCTCTGTAAGCTAAATTTGTGGATTGTAAGCTATAATTTAACATTCTCAGCTCAGCAGTTGTGAGTTGTCTGGGGAAAGAGCATGTTCAATTTTAGAAAAATCTCAGTATACATGAATACAAATCACTCTATTGGGCTTGAATGCAAAATTCAGTGGTGTAGGACAGATATGAGTTCTTATGAGCATCATTCTGTAAGAGCCATTAGCTGAACCGTTCCTCAGCTCCTGTGCAGAGGTCAAATCCTAAAATATCTGCAAACGACACCATGTCTCTCTGCACATGTTTGCAGGCAGTAATATTCAAAATAGCGAGCTCATCAGCTTTAACTCATCAACGGTAGAGTTAATGAAGAAGAAACCAGATGCATTACCAAGAAGACAGAAAGCTTTCTCACTGGGTTTTTAGCAGACGTAGCTGATTTTATCAGTTCAGACATTTTCAGCTGATATCAGTTTGTAGATGCTAACCCACTGAAATATGACTGAGATAGCTGAAGCTTGCAAAACAACTAAACCAAAGCAGTTTTTATGCGGTTGAGTGTTTTTGTATAGCACACTCAGTGTGAGATAACCCACCCCCTTCTTCCTAGTGTAAAAACAGCACTTGAAGCCTCGATGTGAGGATTTCTGTCATTTCCATTTGGCCACAAAAAACGGTCATGATGAAACTGCACACTGATGAGACGGACAGCATGTAGCTCTAGGTGCACACCAAAGACAACCCTCCACTTTCAAACATAATATTAATAATATTTACGAGCAGACATGACCCAGATTGAGTGACTGAAGCTCAGCAGGAAAGTGTTTACAGAGGTCAGCTGTTCCTCCACAGGACTGGAAGTCTGTTTGCAACCACAGCTACGGCCACCTGGTGGCCTTCAGATAGAATGCAGCTTTAAGCCACTTCACTGACTTCATTTTTCCAAATCAGGAGCTACATCCATGTTTTATACTGTCTATGATTTCTGCTAACAGTGTGTAATTTGTGTATAATAATTAGGAGTCATGCAGTAAATAAGAGCCATTCATATCAAAGTAACCACAGAGGGTAGGTGTGTCTATACACTTTTTAAGGTACACCTGTTAAGCTGCCTGTTGATGCAAATATCTAATAAGCCACACATGGCAGCAACTCTGTGTATAGTGTGCTGTATTCATCTAAAAACACACAACAACAATGTGTCTGTCGGTTTTGTGTTCCTTAGAAAAAGCAGAAGAAAGAAGAGATGGAAAGTGTTGTGTATGAAAACACCAGACCCAGGAAATCTCCCAAACCTTAACTGCTGCTTATGGCAATCATCCATAAATATCACGAGTATTAAACCTAGGAATGCTGCCAACACCTTTTAGTACAAGTCAGAGGACTACTGCGTGGGTATGGAAAAGATTCGCCTGTTGGGGTCTTTACCAAGTTGTTTTTTGATGTTGTTTGTATGTTTTCTGATGGTTAGTCTAAACGGTGTGGACATGCACAGCACATTTAATGGTATGTCTGGATTTCAGGTATTTGTTTTATGGTTGGTGCTTCGTAGGATTAGGATTAGCACACGTGATGAGTTAGGCTTACCTAACACCACCACAAGGCTGTTTATCTAAACCTTTCAATTTTTACAGTTACCAAAAGGAAAAACAGTATAGACAGATAATAGTAGAATTATTGTTAATTATTCTTATTTAAACTTGTTGATATTAACCAGGTCACTGATGACCCATCCAGGGTAAGGGAGCAGAATCTGGGCTTAGAATCCCCATCTTTCTGTAGGACATTCATCCACCACCCAAAGGCCAAAAACTTTAATGGAAACAACAGTAATGACATTTACTTAATCCAAGATGTAACATGTTCTGGTCCTGGAAGATTTGCCTGTTTAGCATGTACTCAAAGCAAAGTCCAACTCTGGATGACTCTGTGGGTGTCAACTGAAAATACTACATGTATACTGAGAAACCATCAGTTAGACACATTACTTATGTAGCAATGTCAACAGACTTTCAGACAAAGAATTGGGGAAATAAAATATTTCAATACACAAAACTTAACACAAAAAGAAAATATAAATAAACAAATTTGTCAAACTGTTCTGACTTCAAAGCACTTTCAGCCTTTAGATCAGTTCACTGTAGCTTGAACCCTAGAAACCCTAGAAAGTCCCAGAACAGAAGAAGTGCACACTGAAAATGTATGTAAGAGTGTAAATGTATGTAAGTGTGATCCTTTAGCTTTGCTTTGCTTAATATGTGGCTAAGTGCAACCCTGAGTGGTTCAGCAGAGCACTGGTGGTTGTTAAAAGTTTAAATATTTAAGAACAGTTTAAAACATTTTGTTTGATCTTTACTTTTTTCTTATGTATTATTATTATTATTATTATTATTATTATTATTATTATTATTATTATTATTATTATTATTATTATTGTATTAATTGTTTAATTAATGATAAAGTCTGTCCCACTACTGTGAAGTATATGTACATTACATGTTGTACAGTAAACACCTTTGCTATAAACATGAGATGTTTTAAAATAGAAAAAATCATGTGTATTTTTAGAACATTTTGCCATTATGTAATGACTGTGTTCACTTCTGGGACTGATGTGCTGAAAATCAATTTCCTTCTCTTGTTTGGTTGATATATGAGTAATTTTCCTTCATATTCAGCTACATTATGCTGTCGTGAGTTCAGAGATGCCTCATGCGTGTGTGGATTTACTCAGAAGTGACTGTATCTTTTTTCTTTGATGAAGATGACAAATGTCTTATTACTCAGAATAAGTGCGCTCATGGCTCTGCAGGAAACCGACACGTCTCAAGTCTCAATATAATCTTGCATATTTTTCTCGTCACTCACTAACATTTAAATGTTATTAATTCATTTATTTTTTAGTTTGTCTCTGTTGAAAATAAATGAATGAATCATTCCTATGAGCAAGACAAGATGCAGCTGGACTCTGAGCTTTAGTTAAGTGGAAGCAACAAAAAGTCTGGGAACACTAGGAAAGATTTACAGCATTTATTTTGAATTTCATAAAACATATTTTTATTATGAATGATTAAAGATGGATATGTCCAAAATACACGTCATGATGAGCTCAGAGCCTGTCAGTCAGTCAGCCGGGTCATGTTTTTACGAGTTTTCACACTAGTTTCACTCGAAAGTTAGCAACAAAGGCTAACCGTGTCATAGAGATACAACAGACAGAAGTCTGAGATGTAGTTTTTAAATGTGAGGTGTTAAAAAAAACCAGACTGTGTTATATCGGCATACTTAAGTGGATGTGGGCTGACTTTGTACATTTGTTTATTTACAGATAACTTGGTTAGATGGTGTTGGCCATTAGTGACATTACGGGATGTAGTTTATCAGCCTGTGTCAGTGTATCTGCTGTGAATATGATCAAATTAATACTGTCATATGTTCAGAGTCTTGTTACATTTGGCTGTTAGAATAGATTCAGACAGAACTGAGAGTAAAAAAGCAGCAAATAGTCAGCCTTGAAAAAAATGGGCTAAATGAGTAATTGCAGTAAAAAACTGCATCATATTCATCAACAACATCTTGGCGGTATTACTGTATATTATTTATACCAATCCATAATGACCGACTGCACACGTGTAACGTCTGAGTGAGCAGACACCTGCCACAGTGGACACTGTGGACAACAAAGGAAACGGTGACATACTCTTCATCATTACACAATTACAATCAACGAGGAACTCCATAACATTCAAAAACACAGAAAACAAATGTATTCATATGTGAATGGACCAAAACATGCTCAAAGGTGTAAACAGCCATTAAAACCACAAAGGTGCCTTGCTGCTGTATATCAAGAAGGAAGCTGACATGTTGGGCAGAGCCTGTGTTCTAATGTAGAAAGCAGATTTATTTGCACACAAAACAGAGACATTTCTGACTGTGTTTCACAAAAAGTAGACGAAAACGTTTTGTTTTAGTGATTAAGTGTGCAGCGTGTCACAGTCCTGCAGGACCCTCGCCCTTTCTCTCCCTACCCCCCTCCCCTCTGTCGCTCTCATGTCATGACTGAGTTTGTGTGCCTCGGGTTTCAGAGGCGGCCTCAGAGACCTTCCTGCCACTAGCTTAGCCTCTAAGAAAGAACTGCGATCTCTGTCGCTGCACTTGTGTCCATCACTGTATTCACAGAGACACAGCACTGGCATGCTGTCGTCACTGATAGTCACCTGTGAGTCACACTGTGTCCCTCCTGAAACACTGAGTTATCCTAACACTGAAGAAAAATTGGGGCAGATGGAAAATATTTATTCTGCTCTATCAATATGTAGTAATAAATATTTGGATCTGACTGTTGTTGATTAGCAAGTATTGTTAGGAAGCTTTAGGAAAAGTCTGGGATACGTGCAGAGGGCAGCAGTCTTAAAACTAATTCTTGAATATTTGACTGATGAATAAATATACAAAGACTTAAATTCATGTACCTCACTGTGGTATACACATTATTACTGCATGATTACTAATTACCCAAACTGTGTATTCACACAATCTAATTGCCAACTGTTATCTTTAAAACCACGTGATGACCTGAAATCCCCTCTGACACTTCTTGGACTTACTCCAGGGCTCTGGATGAGCTAGAAATCCCACAAAGGCTGCAGAGAAACATCTTCATCATCTCCAAGACTTCAGAGGAAACATTCTGTAGATCAACAAGACAAAAGCTGAACATTTGGAAAGACCGTGTTTCTTGCATCTGTTGTAAAACTGACACAGTGTTTCATATGAATGTGACAGGTGAGACCTGAGCGTGGGAACCGGCCCTGGTAGGGTTCACGTCTAAAAGCCTTTCAGTGGGGCTGAATTTCAAAGACGAGTATTGCATTTACTCGAGAATCCTTGTCTAATGTTAAAATGTGTTTAATCAAACCTTCAGCACTGAGAAAGGGTCGAAATCTTCACGGCACTATCGTTTATCATGGTAGACTAACTACCCGGCATAGCCTGCACTTACTGCCCAGTATAAACTTTGAATAGCATGGAACCGTCATCACTTCATTTGCTTTAAAACAATATTTAGAAACATCCAGAAACCTTAAACACACGTACACATCCAGTATCCCATTCAAACAAAATCTAAAGTAATTATTACATTTAGGCTTTAAATATCTAACTTAGCAAAGCACCAGTTTACCGGAAGTGTTTTACAGAACAACAAAGGGACACATGGCAAACATGAAACACAGATACAGTAGACACAGGCAGACACAGACCTTCAGCCTGCATTCTTTCCAGGAGCCAGCAGGGGGCGACCTCACTGCTTTCAAAAGGGGCCCAGATTTCTTACTTCTGTATAATAAATGACCCCCGGCTTCAAGAAAAGATACTCCTGATAAGGTCATGATCTCTGTCGAGTCTTAATGAATACAACAGGATGTCTGCTTTGTAAATAATAATCACAAATGTCAGCGCAGGGTTAGGCTGGGACTAGCTTGTGACTGACAAGTATGAGTGTGCAGAGTCACTCCTCACTCCATCTTCACAACCAGTTTCAAAAGGCCATCGCAGCACAAACATGCTGAGCTCAGTACTTTGAAACAGGACACAGTCATCAGTCCCACTGGGATCGATGACTGTGTCCATCTTTTCTATACAGTCTGCAGGGTCGCTGAATAACTTACTTGTTACTCAGAGTAGCAATTAACTTAGTTCCTTTGCTCAGAGAACCGAGTGAAAGGCACAATAATCACAGTGCAGCTTAGTCCAATCCAATCCAATCCAACTTTATTTATATAGCACTTTTAAAAACAACAAGTTGACCAAAGTGCTTTCCAATAATAAAACAGAGATAGCAGTCAAAAACCATACTTTAAGCATACAATGAAATCAATAAACAAAATAAATATATAATTAAAAAAGATGAAAAATAAATCAGTGTATATATTAAATATCACAACATGAGTAGAATAAACAATAAGATATACAATGAATAAAATTAACAAGGTAGAAAGATTAAGAATGATCAACAGCTGACTAAAAACTGACTACAAACTGGCTCTGATAATACTCCTAGAAAGCCTTTGAAAAAAAGTGTGTCTTTAAAAGTGATTTAAACATTTCAAGTGTTGGGGCCAGCCTGATATGGAGGGGCAGTTTGTTCCATAGTTTGGGGGCCACAACAGCGAAAGCTCGGTCCCCTCGGTGTTTCAGTCTCGACATGGGGACAGTAAGGAGTGACTGGTCAGATGATCTGAGAGATCTTTGTGGAGTGTATTGGTGTAAAAGGTCTGACAGGTAAGACGGAGCCAGGCCATTTAAGATTTTTAGAAGCAAGCAATAAAATTTTAAAATGAATTCTAAAATGGACAGGCAACCAGTGTAAGGAGGCAAGAACAGGGGTAATGTGCTCATGTTTGCGTGTCCCTGTCAGCAGGCGAGCAGCAGCATTCTGGACCATTTGCAAGCGCGATAGTGAAGCCTGATCAATACCAATATAAAGTCCATTACAATAATCAAGGCGAGTGGTCACAAATGCGTGCAAAACTCTCTCCAAGTCACAAAAAGAAATAAAATGTTTTACTTTAGAGAAAGCTTTTTCTCACCACTGTATTTACTTGTTTGTCCATTTTAAGAGCTGTGTCAAATTTTACTCCAAGGTTGGTGACAATTGATTTGACACACGATGTAAGAGGACCCAAGTCAGATGGAGGGACACCAGATCCACTCGGCCCAAATATAATGACCTCAGTCTTCTTTTCATTAAAGTTTAAAAAATTCAAAGCCAGCCATGCTCTGATATCCTTAAGACATTCTAAAATAGGCCTGAGGGGGTTAGGGTCATTGTGTTTCAGCGGTAGATAAATTTGACAATCATCTGCATAAAAATGAAATGAGACTTTGTTTTTTAATAATATGGCCAAGGGGAAGTAAATAAATACTAAAAAGAAGGGGCCCAAGGATGGATCCTTGAGGTACACCACATGGGAGGGGGGCGGAAGATGAATGAAATTTACCAAGTGAGACTGAAAAACTTCTATCAGAGAGGTATGACTTAAACCACTCCAAGGCAGTGCCTCTAATTCCAACATGATGTTCTAGACGATAAATCAAAATATTGTGGTCGACTGTATCAAAAGCTGCTGTGAGATCCAAAAGCACAAGTAAGACAGTGTCAGCTGTTTCTAACAGGTGAACAAGTCAGTATTTTTAAATGTTTCCTATTATTCCCAGGTTTATGAGAAATCAGATGACCTGCAGGTAGCAAGCAGTCAGTAACATTAGAACATAAGGAGTGCTCTCAGAAGACTGATCTTTAAAACAGCGTGTGAGACGTACAGTTCAATACAATCATAATGGATTTATATAGCGCTTTTCTAGGCACCCAAAGTGCTTTACAATGCCACTGTGCATTCACTCTCACATTCACACTGGTGGAGGCAGTTACAGGTGTAGCCTCAGCTGCCCTGACAGAGGCGAGGCTGCCATATCGCGCCATCGGCCCCTCTGGCCATCACCAGTAGGCCGTAGGGTAAAGTGTCTTGCCCAAGGACACAACGACCAGGACAGAGAGCCCAGGGATCGAACCAGCGACCTTCCGGTTACAGATGCGATTACTATGTTGTCTCTTGCTTTTATATTTTCCTCTCCGATACAAGCTGCAATACAAGGATGCATTACACACAGACGGTTATACGAGTACTTTTTCTGTCATAAAGGAATCAAAAGTTCTAATTTCACTGAAAATAAAGCAGTTTCACATCTTTTAGATCCATTTTTAGTTTCCCAAGTTCTCATAATGTCAACTAAGAGTCGCAAAGAGAGAATCGAAAATTTGATTCATACTTCTGAAATCAGTCTTCCACAGCACGGAGGTGGCTCTAACTGGGTCACAGGCATATTGAGATGAAAAACTGTTCCTGGCCTTGTCGTAAACCGTTTAATTAACGGTTTAATTTTCATTATGTTTGGGAAAGACAGAATATATAGAAGATATAGCCACAGTGTTACGTGGTTAGATAGCTATAGCTCTGGGTTCATGTGAAATATTTGCTGAGCTGATGCTGGTTCTTGTGTTATGAAGCGCCTTGAGGCGACTTTTGTTGTGATTTGGCGCTATATAAATAAAATTGAATTGAATTGAATTGAATTGTTTGGTCGGTGTGTGGAGCTCTCGTGTCTTCCCTGTGTTCCTCTTCCAGTTTTATAACATTTCATTATCCACAGTGGACACACTCAGAACAGTCAAAGCTGATCACACTGCAGCTCATCCAAAAGGTAATCACAGATATCACCTCATTCACTCACCAGATCACGGACTCACCACATAGCAAGGCATATTATTATTATTATTATTATTATTATTATTATTATTATTATTATTATTATTATTATTATTATTATTATTATTATTA